TATTGTACTTTGCGTAAAATATATCTTAATTATGTACAACATTAATTAATTGGATTAAAGCTCGCACAGATCGTAGAAAAATATTTTTTTCTAACATGAAAATTTGAAAGTTATTAAAGATAATCGAATTACACCATTGCGTCTAGCACATAAGGGCTGGAAGATAATAATGATGTGTCATTTACGTCTCCCAGTCTTTTCAACACCCATCCAATTGAAGTGTTCATTAATATTCTAATTTCCAATTACATTCTATATAATTGTCTCATTATCTAAAAATAAATTATATATAATTGTCTAGTATGTAGGGCGAATCTCCTAATGTGCTAACCATCCAATTGAATTGTTCATTAATATATATTTTATTCAGAGTTAAACCACTTCACGGTCTACGAAGACTTAATGCACGCAAAGTGCTTATGCCCTGTTTGGTTCATGGGACTAAAGCATTAGTCCCTCCATTTTAGTCCCTAAAAATCCAAATAGGGATGACTAAAAGGACTAAAGTGGCAGCCTCTCTCTTCTCTATCCCTTGGTCCACGTGCCTTTAGTCTCTTTTAGTCATTGGATCCAAACAGTAAGGGACTAAAGTTTTTAGTCCAGGGACTAATTTTAAGCCCTATCTGATTGGAGGGACTAAAACTTTAGTCCCTTCACTTTAGTCCCTTTTAGTCCCTAAAGTCCCAAACAGGAGGGACTAAAAAGGACTTAAAGTGCACTAGTCCATTAGTCCCTATATATGGGAGGAGCTTATTGGGACTAAAGTAGTTCCTTTCCACCCGCTACCCCCACACATGGGCATGGTGCGTCTCTTTTTCAATGGTTTTAGAGGTAACATAGTCATTGTACAGTGCAATTAATGACTTTAAGTCCTTTTTAGTCTCTATATCCAAACAGGCATGAACTAAAGTACCTTAAGTCCCTTTTAGTCTCTGTATCCAAACAGGCATGAACTAAAGTGTTTAGTATTTTAGTCCGAGGACTAAAGGATCCAAACACCGCCTTAGTCCCGGGACTAATGATCCAAACATGGCCTTACATATATGCATTAGTTATTGCTGAGCGCATGTTTGGAGTTGACATCTTAAATAGTAATTACATTAGCAAGCCAGTGTTGGACTCTGAATTTGTATGACTAAAAACTATGTATGTCAATTTGTATTCTGTTGATGCGGTTCAATGTGTATGATCAACTTAGTTAGCAATACTACCTCTCTATCTATGTGATATGGCTTTGAATTTGTAATGTGATTGATGTGTATTTATGTTGATAAGAAAAATGCTAATGTTTTGTAAGGGCATGCATTATTGCATAGCTAGCTGCTGGTTTTTTTTTTCAATAATAGAACAACGCAGCTGGTTCATAGGCTAGATCCGCATGTTAAAATTAATGTTTACACGGGTGGATGCCTTCAATAGAAGCCTGTGAAAAAACTTTTTTGTAGGTGGAATCTGAAGATATCTGCTGCGTAAATATATTTTTTAGGCGGTGCTTAAATGCATTTACGGAAATACATGATGTATGCGGGTCCTTGGCTAGAGCCGGGTCAAAAATGCTCGTGTAAAGCGTTTATGCGGTGTCAAGAAATACTTCCTTATTATTTTGGCATTAACATTTACTCTAGCATTGTCCACATTCATATATATATATATATATATATATTAATGAATCTATATATATATATATATATATATATATATATATATATATATATATATATATATTCATTAATATCTATATAAATGTGAGTAATGCTAGAAAGTCTTATAACCTGAAACGGAGGAAGTACGGAGGAAGTAGTAGTGTTCCTCCTTTTCGTTATAACTCCGCTCCTGCTTACCAATATCTATCTAGAATTAAATTTAAAAATATACTGTTTATTTATATTTTTCTCATAAATTTCTGGGATGTAATTCTTTTAGCACAAATATACCATCGTTATCGCTAAATCATTATACGAAAATGACGTCACACCACAGTCTTGTGTGATGCGACGCGAGATGGGTGGTGTCGTGCGTTGGCGCGAAATGGACGACGTTGTCACGGCCCCAAGATGTCATAGTGTTGGCACGCAAGAGACAGGCGTGGTCGCGCGGAACCGTTATGCAATATCGATGCCCCACTCCGCCACACTGTTCGCCTGCACTCCTCCATGTGAGACCAGGGCGATGAACTCAGGTGGGCTTCAAATGTTTTTTTTTTCTCCCGTAAATAAAGATGAAGATTAAGATTGAGTGTTTTACGTAAAATACGGTGGTTAATTGAGTTATAATTATTACAAACTTGAAAAATAGATTAATCTGATATTTTAGAGCAACTTTCACATTAGAAGTTTTCACACAAAACACATTATTCAGCAGTTTGAAAAACATGCCACGAATATCAACATTTTCATCCACCCCTTTAGCATAATTGATATCATAGTAATTAACTAATTCATATTAATTAACGAATTAATAAGATAATTAACTAATTATAATCTGATTAAAGGGTCATGTTGCAGGTCAGTCAAGCGAGACCACTCAAACATCTAATTAATGCTAAGTTAATTGGTGTAGTATCATTAGTAGTTAATTAATTCAGATTAATCAATTAAATAACTAATGAGCCAAGATCATTAATTAATTAACTAATGCCTGATTAGTCAAGCGAGACTGCTCCTTTAGTTTGATAAAAGCGTCCATGCCGTTTTCGTGGCGCTTGCAGCGGTGTCGGTGGGTGATGCGCGAGACCGCGCCCCGTTTGACGGTTTCGCTAACCAGGAATACGACGACGGTATACTTTTGCCAAACGTTTCAATCCAGTATTTTCTTGCAAATTCAAGGAAAAAAACATATATTTTCACCCTTTTTTTATCTACCTACATTTCTTTTTTTTCTAAATTACACAGTACAACCCACACACCCACAACACACACGCACTCACCCCTATAAACACACGCACGCAAACCCTACCCATATGAGCATCTTCGAAAACTGGACCGGCAAATCTTGGAGAGATCGACGAAGTCACCATAGGCGCCTCACTGTCGACGGGTACGTCGTCTACCACTGAAAGCACAGCGCCATTAAATCCTGAAAATTCGCTTTCATGGGAAGTCGAACCCTGGACCTCAGGTACTACTGAGGCTCTTGTAACTACTTACATATCTATCTATCTACAATAAATCGGATACTGTAGAAGCTCTCACATTAATTATAAAAATTTAACCGTTGATTTGATTAATTATAATATTTTAACCGTAGACTCATAGGCTCTGTAAAGCCTAATTAAATTGATATTGGCCACAATCTAATCTAGATTATCTATTGGTTTTGATGTACATGCATGTATACAGGAGGGCACGGCCATTGCACGCGTCGGCGGCGGCCAGCGAGAAGCTAGCAGCCGGTACAGACACTGTCCTACTATTTGGGCAAGATCGATCTCATTGAGGACCCATACATCCTTTGTCCAATTTCGCTATGCCAGTCTGCTTGCACGGCCGGCGCGTAGAAACCACGTCGCATCGTGATGATCGGATATGGTTATCCGTTAAGCCAAGGTAGACGTATGGCCAGCCTCTCAAACCACAATGACAGGTGACCTCTAATTACTACTTTTCAATTATTATTTGATTCGAACATCAAATTTCAATTCAATTTTCTTATTGAGATCAAACAATTTTATTTTGGTTTTTTCTCCATGTGAGTTTAACTGACCTATATAAAATTTGAATTTCAAATTATGACAACTTCAAACAACATTTTCAAATACTAAACGATTTTAACTGAAAAAGTTATCAACAACAAAATTGTATAAATCATCAATACCTACAACTTTTGTTTTGGTCATTTTGCTATATGACTCTGTTTCAATAATTTGAATTTGAATTTCAAATTATGACATGTTCAAATAACATTTTCAAATACTAAATGATTTCAACTGAAAAAGTCATCAACAACAAAGTTATATAAATCATCAATATCTACAACTTTTGTTTTGGTCTTTCACTACCAGACTCCAGGCCTAGCCTGTAGAAGCAAAACCGTCAGAAAAATAGCTTTAACCGTCAGAAATTATATTCCTGTCGGTTCACCGTCAGAAATTGCCGACAGAAAAATCACCACGGAGAAATTCAATTTTCCTGTCGGGTTACCTACAGGAAAATAATTTCTGTGGGTATTTCCCTGGGGGTGGAACACAGGAAAATGTATTGGCGTCAGGTTTTTCACCTGTAAATTCTGACGCGGAACCGACAGGAAAATACCGTCACAATATTTTTCTTTGTGAGTGAACCGACAGGAAAATACCGTCGCAGTTGTTTTTTTTTGGCTAGAATTATATTATTTCTGTCGGTTGGTTATAATAAAACCGTCAGAATAATTGGAGCATATTGAAAAAAAAACAGCTAATAAAAGCTGCTAAAAAGATCTGATTTCATTTCACTTACATAATAGAATGCATCCAAACAATGAAATCACAACAGCTTCACAAATAACATGCCCAGAAATCACAAAATCATTCAAATAATGCCAAATCACAGCTGACTCAAATAGCCATCATCTCAGCCACCAATTGATTCAAATAGCCACCATTTCATATACTTGCATCACCATACATGCAGTACATCAAGTTCTAGTACTGATTCTATAGGAGTAATCAGGTTTACAACCAATAGGTGTCCCCATATCACCTTGACATGCTAACTGACATTGCACAACTACTTAGCCATTACTTACAACCAATACACTTGTGAGCCACTACTTAAGTGTTCAGAAGAGCATGTGTAATCTGACTTTGTTGCTACCAAAAGAGCATAAACTATGTTAAGTCTCATCTAGTTTAGTCACCACCAAACAGGCCATGAAGTATTACCGAAGTCTCTATCTACTAAGTTGCTACCAAAATAATATATGGGCTAAGTACTGATGTGCGAAACAAAAGCCATGTCCACGTCACCGATGCATTGTGCAAATGCAAGAAGCTAGGCTGCGATAGCCCGTCCACTGCTGCAAACTTGATTTCTGTTGCATCCATTGTTCGCCTCGCAGCCGATGTTCACCTCACAGACCACGTTCTCCTCACTGCCCATGTTGGTGTCAGTGGTTCCATCATTTTCAGCTTCCTGCTGTGAGCCCGCATGAGAAGAACCAGTTCGCTGCAATAAATAGGTCCGAACATTAAGTCATGCGATTGGAAGTATGCACTGCAGTGATGCCAAAGTTCTGATGAAAGAAGTATCTATCCAATGAACATGCATATACCTTATAAAGAAAAAAAACATCTATGGCTAGCTAGACTTTCCACTGAAGTAATAGCAAACATTGAAATGAAATAATGCCAGAAATCGCATGCCTGACTTTGGATGACATGACCAGAAACAGTTGTGGCAAACCATTATTTCCAATGCTAGCAGAAATCAGTATACTACAACACTAACGGTTGTGGCAGCAATAAAACAATTACACTTAAATCCTTAATATCCCATCGCAGACACCATATATCCAAACTTCATGTAAAACAAAATCGAATCCAGCTAGAATAGCAAAAAGTTACTAGAATCAAGCTCTCTATGTCACAAGCTTCAGACATCTATATTTCCAAACCTCTAATAGGGGTGACATTCCTGGCTACCTTACCATAATTTAGAACTAAGAATGAGGTTATGCCCAGGTGTTACAGTTCTCAACATGAGGCTTGTGAACTGCTGCATGTGTTGTTGACATTCTGCTACCAAAAACGATTAGTTCTCTTAACAAAATAAAAGAAAAAAAAGGGTACCATGGTTGCTTAGGTTGGATTTTTTTAATATACTGAGACAAATGAGTGTTATTTCTTTCATTACACAACTTACCTGGACATGCGCAGGAGACATTAGATCTTCATTAGCAGGTGGCACTACATCTTCCTCAGATGGTGGTTCCACTCCTGTCTTTTCATAAAGAAACTAAAATGGGACAGGGATTAGACAAGGCTAGAATGCAGAATCACATATTATTGTACAGTTATATTAGAAGGGTTACCCTGATCAGCCGTTCATTGGAATCCATTCGGCGGCGAAGTTCTGCATTTTCGCGTGTGAGTTTTAAATTTTCGTTTCGCAAAGTTTGATTGGCTGATGGGGTAGATGGCCTAGGTGCTGTCTCTTTACCGGCCGCTATAACAGTAGACTTGGACATAGCACCATTGCCTATGGGAAGGCGTCCATGTGGCAGTCCATTGCAAATGGAATAAAGTGCCTTTGGATCTAATTCATGGCCATCTGAATCTCCTTGAGTTCCTGAGCTAGTCACTGCAGTATAGTCAGCCTACAAGAACAATAGCCTTTTCTAAGTTTGTGCAGCAATGATGGAGATAAAGTAGCTAGAGAAAGAAAATATAGACATAGTTAGGAAAGATCACTGTGTTTATACCATGATTTTTTCTGCCTTTTGGTTGTCGATCCGTCCATGAGTTCCAGTACTGTCCACGTTTTTTGCACCTGATTTCATAACACCAAATGTGTTTAGTCCAGTAGCCTTCTCAGGTCCAAAGTCATGTGCCTACAAATGCAGCCAATAATGTGTTACACAACCAAAGCTCAAATAGGAAATAATACACAAGAAATGATGTTACTTGATCAGATTTTCTACCAGCCACTGTTGTGTCTCAGTAAATGGCCTTGATCCTCCTCTATTCCGAGAATCGTCTTCAGATTGTAGCCTTGAATCTTGGGCTTTTTTCCGCTTCTCAAGGTATTGCTCAGTGTCCCAGTGGTGGCAGAGAGAAGGCCAATCTGATTCACTAACCCATTCCACACGAGCCAGCAGGTATTCCTCGTCTGAGAGTTCAATTGTACGGGCTACTTCGTCTTTAATCTTTTCCCCACGCACTTTAAAGAAGTAGAGCTTGACAGCATCAACACGAAGTTGATACATCATATCATTGACGCGCTTGTTTGCATATTGTTGTAAGACACGGTTAGCCTCTGCCTTTAATTCTTCTCTTGTAGAAAACAATCGCTGCATGATGTGTTACAGGTATACAAATAGATTTAAAAAAACAAAACCAAACACTTCTTTGAAATCTAGGATAGGAAAGAATTACGGTTACCCAAAATTCATTCACCACTCGCTCTGCACATGTCTCTCCATATTCTTCATTTTCTTTCAAACAATAATCTGCCCAATGGAGTGCAGGGCGGCTACGAATAATTCTACCATCATTGTCAAGGTCCTTCACAGTGCCTGAGTATTCGCGTTTCAGAATAACCCCAAGCTGTGAGGTATACTTGTACTCTGCAGCATGCCAATTCACATACTTGAATTGCCTGTATACAAGGTTAGCACACTTAGTCTCAATTCACATAATTGGTTCAAATGAACTAGTAGCAAATGACTAAATTAGTATAGCAGTTCTGAATTTTTCTTGCATCGCTTAAAAAATTTATGAATGTATACTTACATTTCACCCCTAGGTATAAGGCCCACCTTCCAACCCGGTCAAGGTACAGCCAGGCTGGTCCTTGACCTCTCCTTTCGTCCTCTTTGTGTAGCTTGCTGTTCAGCTTGCTCAGTACTTGCACGATGACTTCCTTGACTCTGACCTTCAGCATTAGAGTTAGCAGGGTTCACTTGAGTGCCATTTGTAGAAGGCACACTCCTTGAGCTAGCACCATTAGCACTACTTGTATTGGAAAGTTGGCTAGCTGGGCGCTTCTTTGAAGCAAGAGACCGATGGCGAAGGTTGTTCATGATCTGCACATGCACATACAGCTAATTAAATAACTTACTAGTATAATTAAATACATAAACTAAATGCTATTAAGACAATATTACATCAGATATAGCATATTTCAGTAACACAAAGATACCAACATCCAGCTTATCTTAGTCAAGTCTTGTCCACAACATATAAGAACACACTGACCACAAGTTCACAACATAAGCAAGGAAAAAAAATACAAGACATAAAACACAATCAGAAATCTTCAGGATCATAAATGATGGCTTCAGGTTCAGCTTCTTCTTCATCTTCTTCATCATCTTCCTCATCATCCAGCTCTTCATCTCCTTGTGTTGGAGAGTTACATTTGGCAAGATAGTCCAAATCTTTCTCATTAGTTATCTCATCAGATATGTAAGTGGTTGCTATTTCAATGTCATCCCCTAAATCAATAACAAAATGACCTTCCAATCCTTCTTCTTGATAGAATGTGTCAATTTGTGGCTGATCATTAGGAGGAGCAGACTCATTCGTGGTACTAGGAGGAAGCCAACCATGAGGGGTAACATTATGTACAACCCACCAATCTTTTAAATCTGGTCTGGAATCACATGGGTAAGGCAAGTAATAAACTTGAGTAACTTGACTTGCCAGCACAAATGGTTCAAAGTTTGAAAGCCTAGATGTGTGGTTAACTTCAACCAATCCCAAATTTTCAGTTCGCCTAACACCAGAATTTGTTGGATCAAACCAGCGGCAATCAAATAAAACCAACTCTAGGTTCGTGCTGCCCTCCCAAGTAATTTTGATGATGTCCTCGATGACACCAAAGTAGTCAATAACATTGTTATCATCGTCAACGCAAGACACACAAACACCAGTATTGACAGTACTTAATCCTGATTTTGCACTCTCATACTTCTCTGAACGAAATCTATATCCATTCACATCATAGCATCCATAAGTGGTTATTCTTCTAGGAAAACCATAAGAAATTTGCCGCAAGGTGCTATCAATACTAGAATTTGCCATGCACTGCATAAATGAAAGTTACTAGTTTAGAATATTTCAAATAAAGGGAAGGAGAGGAAGTTAAAAAGTAGGCAGAATTACTTGTTTCTTGAACCAGTCAAAGAAATTTGGCCCATGTTTAGTTCCACGGTAATATTTCCAACCATTTAATCTTAAGTCATGACGTTGCTTATCACTAGGTGCAATTCTGCTCTTCCATTGTTCCTTATCAAATTGTCTATATGTAGGGATGGATTAGGGAAAATAATAGGAATTTATTAAGTTAAAACAATTTTTTAATATGAATACTTACTCAAACAAAGTGTCCATCTCAGAAATATTAGTAAGAATATACAAGAAAGCAGCCTTGTACTCCTCCACTGTTAGATCACGACATGTGCGACGATTAAAACACCGACCAGGGTACTGGAAAATTTGAAGGTTACAAGAACTCTCAAATGTAGAGGAACCATCATCGTATCGAGGGATCTTATTCCTAGTTGATCTCACATTGTGGCTGAAATAAAGTGAGAGGAAATTTGTGTTTTCCTCCACTAGATAAGCTTCAACAATGGATCCCTCAACACGAGCTTTATTTCTAACCTTTTTTCTAAGTCTCCCAATGTACCTAGAAGGTTGACAACACTAAATTAGGAATAAATAGTTGTAAGGACAAGACAAGCACTTATTTCGAATACTATGTTAACTAATATTTTTACCTCTCATATGGATACATCCAACGGGCTAGAACAGGACCACCAAGATGAGCTTCACGGGGAAGATGTACAATTAGATGTTGCATTAGATTGAAAAACCCTGGTGGGAATATCTTCTCTAATTTGCATAAAAGAACAGCAACATTCTGTTCAAGTGAATGTACAACATCCTTGCTTAGTTCTTTAGCACACAACTGTCTATAGAAAAAACTAAGCTCAGCCAAACAAACCCATATATTTTCTGGAAGGAATCCACGAAAAGCTACCGGAAGTAATCGCTCAATAAAAATGTGGTAGTCATGGCTTTTTAGACCAAATATCCTCCTTCTCAGTAGGTTGACCCCTCTTCTAATATTGGCTACATACCCATCAGGGAACTTCAGATCTTGAAACCATTTGAGTATAATAGTCTTGTCATTCTTATCTATGCAAAATGCTGCCCTCGGCTTGTGCCACTTGCCATTGCCCTTCAAATCCAAGTGTAATGAGGGGCGGTTGTAAATATCAACCAAATCTTGTCTTGCCTTCACATTGTCTTTTGTCTTGTCGGGTATGTCAAAGCACGTGTTCCATATAGCTTCAGCTACATTTTTCTCATTGTGCATGACATCGATGTTGTGTGGGAGGAGTAATTTATGAAAGTATGGTAGTTGCCAAAAACAGTTCACATGGGTCCAATTGTGAGTTTTACCATAGTTATTTCTATCAGCCACATGTGCATACATTTGGTCCCTTACTTCCTCTCCCTTTAAGATCCTCGGTGCTTCATCCAATACTACGGTGTTCTTCCGAAAAGCATTAGCTTGGAATCTGAACTCATGGTCTCTAGGTAGAAAACGCCTATGGCAATCAAACCAACATGCTTTGCCACCATTACGGAGGCGAAATGCTTGGGTATCACATAAGCATGTTGGACATCCAAAAATACCATGGGTGCTCCATGCAGCAAAATTACCATATGCAGGACAATCATGAACAGACCACAAAAAGGCTGCCCTCATGTTAAATCTTTCCTTGCGCGAAGCATCCCATGTTTCAACCCCCTCCCACAACTTGAAAAGATTATCAACTAATGGTTGCATAAGAATAGATAGCTTCTTTCCTGGATGTTCAGGACCAGATATAACTAGTGAAAGGAATATATATTCTGGTTTCAACAGTACTCCAGGGGGCAAATTTAGTGGAGAAACAAAGACTGGCCAACAAGAATAAGGAGCAGCACCAATATTGAAAGGTGTGAAACCATCAGTTGAAATAGCAAGTCGCACATTTCTTGCATCTCTACCAAAGGTTGGAAAATCTATGTCAAATTGTTGCCATGCTTCACCATCACAAGGGTGCACTAGCTTACCACATGTGGACTGTTTATGTGATTGCATAGCCTTTGCGGTCTCCTCATGTGCATAAAGCCTTTGCAGCCTATCAGTGATGGGAAGATAACGCAAAACTTTGCGTGGGACCTTATTCTGTCCATCCTCAAATCGGGGGGTGTTACAAAAGTCACACTTATCTTTATGCTCATTTTCTTTGTAGTATAACATGCAGTTATTATAGCAAACATCAATTTTAATATATGTCATACCTAGGCCCTGCAATAGTTTCTTAGAATGGTAAAAATCCTCTGCCAACTTAGAATCAGGTGGAAGAAGTTCATGGATCAGTTGCAAAGTATCATCATAATGTGCGATTGACATATTGTACTCTGACTTTAAAGCTAGCAAACGAGCAATAGCAGATAAGCTAGTGTGCATTGTGTTGTCATGGACTGACTCATTAGCCCCATCCACCATTCTATAGAAAGCACTAGCAGAAGAAGTTGGCTCTTCATCAATTCCTGGTGGTTGGACAGCCCCTATATCAAGTAACATCTCATCCATGCGATCAGGTTGATCAAACCCCTCCTCATGGGCCAAGGGAGACAATGGTTCATTATTCCTAATATGTTCTTCCCCATGGGCTGTCCATGTCTCATAGTTTTCCTTAAAGCCAAATTTACACAAGTGTGCCTCTATAATATCCCTTGTATGTCTCATGTAGTTGCGACACCTACCACATGGACATTTAATACTTCCATCTTGAACTAAATCAGGTATATAGAAAGCATGGTCTAGAAACATATTGTTCTTTTCAATCCACTCATCAGAGGGTGCAGAACCATAATGCCAACCATTATACATCCAATTACGTTCCGCCATTATGTTATTCTGTCTAAAGCAATATCATTTAACTATCTTAGTATATAAAGTAGGCTTGGTTAACAATTAGATCACATCCAAATGGAACATCAAAAATAACAGTCCAACTTAAATGGCCACAAGCATGCATAAGTATCTTAGCTAGGTAGGTGAACTAGAGCTTACCAGATTTTGTTGAAGCTACCAGACCAGCACGTCTGAGAGTTAACACAGCTAGCGCATCAACAGGTCAACAAGGATAGTTCACCAGGCTTCACAGATTGGGGCATCCTTGAAAAGTATTACATAGATCTGTACCAATGCATATGTAAAATTCAGTTTTGCTGATATTAACAAAATAACACACTGTGTTCTACTTTTGTATAGAAGCTACAACTAAATATGCAAAATAACTTCCAATCTCTCATGCATGTCAGATTTAACATAAAAAATCAAAACATACAGACTGTTTTGCTTACTATGTGGAGGCAAACAATAGCAGAAACGACTTCAACACTGAAGGAGGACTTCTCTTGGACTTCAGTAGGGACGGGCAGCAGCTGCGGAATGGCGGAGTAAGGGCCGGCTGTAGGGGTGGCGGTGGAGGTGTTGAGGCTGACGGGATGGTGTAGGGGCGGCGCGGGCCGATGGACGGGCGGAGCAGAAACGAGTAGGGGATGGGCGGTGGGGGGATGAGGGGGCGGCGAGTTGGGGAGGGAGGCGGCGGTGCTAGGCCGGTCGATGGGCGGAGCAGGGGCGAGTGGGGGAGGGGGGAGGCATGGCGAGTGGGGGAGGGAGAGGCGAAGGCGGGCGCACGGTGGGGCGACGGCGGCGGGGCCGCGCTGCTGAGTAGCGCTACGCGCCTGCGCGAGAGAGAAAGGAGTCGATGGCGGCGGTGGATCTGGAGTTCCGGATAAGATTGGGGATTTTACTAGGTTACCTCAATTTTTTTTGTGGGCCGGAAGCCCAAAACCTACAGAAAAAATATTTCGGAGGGCGCCAATATTCCCGCTTACTGAAATTTTGGCGCCATATTTTCCTGTTCCCTCGCGCCACAAATTATCGTGACGGTAAAACGTCAAAAAAAAATACAGTTCTCTACTGCCAAGGAGGGAATGCCCATTTTTCTGTGGGCCGTGTCCAAAACCTACAGAAATATTACATTTTTCTGTGGGTATAAGTAAGCCCTTCACAATAATTTATATTTCTGTAGGTTTGTTTCGAAACGCACAGGAAAAATAATGACCTACAGGGTAGCTCCAAAGTGTGGTAGTGTTTTTGCTATATGACTCCGTTTCAATAATTTGAATTTGAATTTCAAATTATAACAACTTCAAAGAATATTTTCATATACTAAATGATTTCAACTGAAAAAGTCATCAACAACAAGTTATATAAACCATCAATATCTACAACTTTTGTTTTAGTCATTTTGCTATATGACTCTGTTTTATAAATTTGAGTTTGAATTTCAAATTATGACAATTTCAAATAACATTTTCAAATACTAAATGACTTTTCAACATCAAAGTTGTATAACTCATCAATATCTATAACTTTTATTTTGGTCATTTCTTCATCCGATAAAGTGATAGTAACATTGTTTACAAAATTTACATATCTCTTATATGGTTTTCAAGTATTTAAATCACGACGAAATTGCTATAACGTCACAGGTTTTGGGCCGGTTTATGACAAAATCGATAAACTGTCATGGTATTATGGGCCTTGTATCCATAGTTGCATATCCGTGACGTTCTCTGAAAACATCACGAAAATTTCGTCAAATTTCATCACAGATTAAATAGATTCTTGTAGTGCAATTCAATTTTCTTTACCCTAGAGAAAATGCCTGTACGTTGCAACGGGTGAAGTCTATTTTAATTTTATTATTGTTATATGGTTTAGTTAAGATGAAATTTACCGTGAGAGTTCGCTTGGATATATATATTTTTAGAAAATTATGAACTGCAGTTAGAAATCCGATCGTCTCAAGTTAACATGCGCTTATCGATCAATGGCAAGCAGACTACGCCTTATATCCTTTTCGCTCCGATCTTAACCTAGCTTCATCTCACCGAATCATCGGAAGGAATAGTCAACTTTTGGGTGCAAGCTACCGTATTATAATGGTGCAGATAATACCTTTCCCTGTGATCTGTAGATTTCCACTGAACTGATTTGACATTTTCTTAGCATTCTCAAAAAAATAGCACTATTCTAATATTAAATTTTAATTTGGCGTTTCGGGCTCCACGCCGCTATTTATTGCTCACCCCATTAAAATATACTAGTTGCTTCTATCATCCAAATCGATCTTAAACAATCACAACTATTTTTCATCTCAATAATAATCTATGCAGAAAAGGACGCAAGTAATCTAGAAGGAGTATGGCTGAAAATAGGGGTGGACAAAAAGCTTGGGCTCGTAAACTCGGCTCAGGCTTGGCTCGGGCTCGCATACCTCGGCTCGGCTAGAAAGCCAAACGAGCCAGCCCAAGCCTCCAAACGAGCCAGCCCAAGCCTCCTTCCTAGCTCGTTTTCGAAACGAGCGAGCCCGAGCTGGCTCATGAGCCACTCGTGAGCTCGCTTGGCTAAGTAACAATAGGGCCATATGTAAAAATTTTACACCTTTTCTAACTATTTATTTGTTGAAAATGATAACTTTGATTGTTATATTATCTATTTATGTGTTGTGATGACGTATTAAAGAAAAATATCACTTTGTTACACATTCTATGTGGTAAAATGTTGCTCGATTTCTCTTATACATGCTTGAGATTTACTTGATGCCAGGCTCGAGGCTCGAGCCCATAAACGAGCCGAGCCGAGCTGCAGTTTTAGCTCGCTGTAGCGAGCCAAGCCAAGCCGAGCTTCCCTTACACCAAGCTTTCACAAACCGAGCCAAGCCCGGCTCGTTTCCACCCCTAGCTGGAAACTTGACCAAAGGACATGGTAGAAAAAATAAATGCTCGGAACTACCCGGGTTCCATCTAGATCCGAAAAAATATATGTTAGAAATAAGAGAATTGTTTTATCCGCTAATATATACTATATTATCAATCATATGTAAAAATATTCCGAATATATCTACCTACAAACATGGTAGAAAAATGGTTTTTAATTTCAATATATCCGCGTAGGGGAGGGTGGCCACGTGACCGGATCCACGCCGGGGAGGCCCACCGCCATCGGATCGAGGTGGGGCGGCACCACTGCAGATGCCCGAGGTTGCTCCCATCACCTGAGCCCGCCGTCGCCGCTCCCGCCGTGCTCTTGCGGGATCCGTTGCAAAGCTCCCCGCACCGGAACACTATTTTATGAGCTCAATTAATATTGCAGTTTTTTTTATGTATCTTCTTGAACACTTTAATTGTGTCCCTAGATTCAATATCTACAGACAAATATATATCTGTTCCTGAATCTATTTCCGACGAAAAATATGGGATAGGATATATAGGATGAGTTGTGTGTTATCCGTCGTTATCTATATACGTGGTTCTGAATTTGAAGAAAAACTATAGACCAGGATACTAGAGTGGCAGAATGTAATGACATCCGAGCGTACCTTAGCCGATTCCACCGCTAGGAGGGAGTAGTGAAGTAGATTTCCATTATGGAACTATATATATATACCTTTTGGCATGTCCTGATTTATATCTCACGGTTGTTTTAATTTATTTTATTTTTTTCTAAGTTTTTGCCTCATAGTTCTAGTCGACTTACATTATCTTTAAATATTACTCTTTCACAATATAAAAATACGATGAAATGTTTTAGATTAAGGAATACTCTCTCTGGTTCCTTATTAAACAGGGGTAATGCTTTAGATAAGAGTTAAGATACCAATTAATGATGATAATTAATTAGAGTGACTATTTCCTATTGTATCCATATTAAATACATCTGTGTGACTAGCTTAATTAATATGTTTTACATGCATGCATGTAAAGGGAGTAAATTAGTCCAAAGTAGCCACACCAAAGGTAAAACGTCAGTTTTTATTTGCATCCAAACAGTTCAAATCTCTAACGTCAACTAATATATTAAACCGGAGGGAGTAATAGATATGCATTACCTAACCAGCTGTACTGCGTATATGTAGTACTTAATATGGTATAATGTATATATAGAAGTACACACTCACTACTAGAAAAAGCATTTTTCTTGACGTGGGGTCTTTCTTTCGCAGGCGGACATAATCTTTAGAGACAAATGACCGCCTACAAAAATATAAATCGAGGTGAAGTTCACTATCCGCCTGCGAAAATGGTTTTCACCGGCGGACCACCTAAGCGGCGCCTGCGAACATTTATTTTCGCAGGTCACCTTATGTGGTCTGCCTGCAAAAAATCGTACCTACCCAAAAAAAAAACATTAATACTTATCTACACCTCCAACCCCTCCCCACAACTCATTTGCCCAAACTTATCTTCTCAACTCTCCCTCTCTCCCTCCACCGGCTTCTCAGCTCTCTCTCCCCCTCCCTTCCCCTCTCCCCCTCCACGGGCAGCGGCGGAACGCGCGGACCCGGCGGCGGCGACGTGGTTCCCCAGCCTCCCCTCCCAGATCCGGCCGGAGGGAGGGCCGGGGGAGGACGGCGGCGGCGGCGGCAACATGGGCGGCTCCCCTCCAGCGGCGGCCCTCTCCCGGTGCGGCGGCGGCGGCTCCCCGGCCTCCCCTCCCAGATCCGGCCGGAGGGA